CCCGCTCCCCCTGCTTGTGTTCCCTCTCTCGCTTTGTCTCTCTCTATCAAATAAATAAATAAAATCTTTAAAAAAATAAAATAAAATCTTAAAAAAAAAAAAATAAAGCACGCTGATCCTCTGACCCAGCAATCCACTATTGGAAATCCATCCTATACATACATATATTTTAAAACTACAGATTATAGAATATATAAAATTATATATTTTCACCGTAGAACTCTCTGTTCTAGCAAAAACTAGAAATCACCATCAGTGTCCCAGGGCCAAATGACCAGAGGTACAGCCATATAGTGGGACACTGAAGAGCCCTTACAAAGACCGGGGTGTCTTTTTTAGAGGCACTAACATGGAGAGGTGTCCACGACATGCTGTTAAATGCAAAAAGCAAGCTGCCAAAGAGCATAGAGAGGACTGTCCCATTAGGCAGTGTGTTAGTGTTAACACTGAATATTCATACACCTAAAGGAAAAACTCGGTCAGAATATAACCTAAACTATCAATAAGCTATTTGGAAGTGACAGGAATTACAGGAGACTCACGGCTTTAGACATTTCCGTATTGTCCAATTTTTTTTTAAACAAACACTTGGCAGTTGTACTAATCAGAAAAATAAAGTAGTAATTTGAAGTTCACTCCAGCTCCAAGGTCAACTGGTGAACAAGATCTCCAAGTACCTGTGGGCTCAAATCTCATCTCTCCCACTTCTCTGTGTGACCTTGTGTAAGCCTCGGTTCCCCCATCTCTAAAATGGGGAACCCAAGAGACCCTGCCTTGGAGTGAAATTAAGCGACAATGCAGACGAGCAGGGAACAGCACAGAACCAGGTTCCGAGGTGGGCCCAGTGAATATGAATGCCTTCCCTTCCTTTCCGGGGCCCCTTCTGGTTGGGCCTGTAAGGGCGGGGGGTGGCAGCTGGGAGTCTAGCATCGAAGGCAGCCCTTGGAGCATACCTGGGGTCCTGGTCAAAGGTAAACTGTGTACCGTGACCATGGTGCACATCCCAGTCCACGATGAGCACCCTGTGAGGAGGACAGAGGGGGGTACTATAGAAGAGCGTCAAGGCGCACCTGGGGGGGAAGGACCCAGGCCAGGACACCCTACCCTGCGCCACCCGCATCACACCCCCCTGCAGGTTGCTGCTGACCTCTGAATGGCATGCTTCTTTTGAGCGTAGCGGGCAGCCACGGCCACGTGGTTGAACATGCAATATCCATCCATAAGACTGTGCTGGGCATGGTGTCCAGGAGGCCTGGGCAGGACAGGGGAGGCCACAGATTGGGGAGGGGGGTCCTCCTCTACAGAGGCAGACTCTCCCCTGCTCTCCAATTCTAGACCACCAACGCTCCCAGTGCCGATGTCTGCCAATCGGCCAGTAACTGAGTGACGGGGGCCCCTGGACCTCCACGCCCAGTCTACTGCTCTCTACCCAAAGGAAACCTGATAATGGTCATTAAAGTTATCAATGCATAGGGGTCACTTTGGCAGCACATATACTAAGATTGGAAACAGAGATTAGCATGGCCCCTGCAGAAGGGCGACACGCAAGTGAAGCCGTCCCATGTTTTTGTCACTATGTGGTCCACACGAAACCAACAGAATGCCATACGTTAACTATACCGGAACTGAAATTAAAAAAGCAAATAAATAAAGTAAAAATTATCAACACATACACCCTCACCCTCACACCCATCCTGTTCCTGGAGACTTAGCCCACAGCCCATATAACAAAAAGGGTGAAACTACAATGTTTCTAAATGGATAACGGTGTTTGCTGTGACACGTTTTGGAAGCGGCCAAAGACTGAGGGCAACCAAAACGCCCAGCGCAAGGGGGCCGGCTAACTTCCCGTGCATTCGCACAGCGGCGTTCCACGCGGGTCTATAGCATACACTGTTCGAGAAAAGCTTGCCAAGATGTAGAAGTGAAAAATGCACGTGTTCAGTGCCACCACCATTTGTGGCTACAAAAAAGGGGAGGGAGGAGAAAGGCCGTATCTTCCGCAGTTCACCAGTTCCGGGATGCCAACAATGCTTAGAGGTACGGTGAGTTCACGTGCCAACGATGAAGCAGAGAATGCTGCTAAATGAATTCTAAGACGCCACTGTTTGTCAGATGAATCCGGATCTCAAGACAATCAAATACGGATCTTAGCATCGATGAAATACGGCATTTACTCCGTGAATAGGCACAGAAGGTTTCAGGGAACACACGTACAGTGACTACCTCCAGGAGAGGAAGCAGGTCTCTGGGGGATGGGGTGGGAGACTTTTTTGGTACTCCCTTTTGTACTTTTTGACTCTTGAACCCTGTGAATATACCACCCATAGCAATACATTTTACATTTGAGGGGAGGAATCTTTTTAAATACAAAGAAAACAAAGGCTGGTGGGTCCTACCTGATGATGGCCATGCCATTCCGGATCTCGTTCCCCAGGACCGCATCCACCAGCCTGAGGACAGAGCCCGAGGCCAGGCAGGCACAGGTATATGAGTTCTGAAGAGACAGTGGGGAGCCAGAGAGGGAGTAAGGGAGAGAGTAGCCTGCCCACTCCGCTACTCCTCCCCAGGATGTGGTGGGCGTGGGGATGGGGAACCCCGGGATTGCCACCACCCTCTGCTCTCACAGTTGTTATCCATACCGGATGCAGGTAAACTGAGTCATAGGTGTCTGCTAGGATGCGGAGCTCTCCTTCATTCATGTACTGGGTCGTCTCCATCAGATCAATGTATTCTAGGCTGGGGACACAGACAGGAGATTCAAGGGCCTGCCTCCCTCCTGGGCCTGAGTCAGGGCGCTGTCTCTTCCCCATCTGAACCCTGGTCAAGTCAGGCCCCCTCAACTGTCAGTCTGGGGGGACAGCTGGGATATAGGACATATTCCCTGCTTCTTCCCTAGCCAGCCTCATTTCCAGGAATGTCCCTTGTCCTGTGCTCTCGCCACAATAAATCCTACCCCCAGGCTGTTGGCTGCACTGCTGTGGCTGTCTGTACAGCTCTCCTCTTCATCTGACTCACTCTTTCTCAGCTCAGATCACCCCTCTGCCAAGCTAGCTTTCCTTGAATCACATCACCCCGGGACCCTCACTCTGGGTTCCTGCAGCCCCACGGGGGGGACCCCTGATCACTCTGTACACACACCCACCATCTGTTTACATACTAGATTGTCATTACAATAGCCTCTCGGGGGTTAAGACATGGTGGGCACCATTCTAAGCACCCACCGCATCTCAAACCCTCCCGAGAAACTTCTGTTTGTTTGCTAGCTCCCATGTGATAGGCAAGGACTCTCAGATTCGGAGAGGCTCAGCAACTTGCCCAAGGCCACAGGGCCCATGATATCCCTTCCCAAAGAGTCTGGCCTGCCCTGGTTGGCCCGGGGCAGCCTCCTCCCCACCTCTACAAGGCTCAGAAGCCTTCACCTGTGAACCAACATCAGCTCCTCCTTTTCAGCAAACCGAGCCTGGGGAGACACAAGGAATAAAGGGCTCAGGCACTGGCCGCACCCAGGCTCCACCAGCTCCTGCCCACCACCCACCCAGGGTGTCAGCTGAAGGACTCACCTGGAAGGACACGCAGCGGTCCAGAAGGCCCTCCTGGATCAGCTGTTCCTTGATGGCATGGAGCCGCTCAGGGCCTTCAGGGAAGCTGGGTTGACAAGACATCCAGACACACACACACGCACGCGCACGCACACACACACACACACACACACGGATACGGGTGAGCGGCTCCTCTGCTCTCCACATCTTGCCCATCCCCCCTTCCACAGCTGGTCATGTCAGAGACTTTGGAGCCAACCCTGGCGCCTGCTTGGCTCTGTTCTCGCAATACATCGAGAGCCTGCCCTCTCCTTGTCACCCCCCCTGCTGCCACCAGAACCTCCTGCCCGCGCTCCTGCCCTCAGCTCCTCACTGGCTTCCCTGCTTCCGCCCTTGCTCCCCCAACAGCCCCTTCCTCCACACAGCATTGGCTAAAACCCAAATCAGGCCACGTCACTCCTCTACTTAGAACCGCCTTGTGGCTCCCATGTCGCACAGAGGCAAAGCCCAAGTCCTCCGCCTGTTCTGGAAGGCCAGGAACCACCGGCCCCACCGCTTCTCAGACGCCGCCTCCCAGTGCTCTCCCCTCACTCACCCTGCTTCTCCCGCCCTGGCCTCTCCTTGTTCCTTCATCCAACCGAGTACTTTTCAGCTAGTTCCTCTCCCTGCCTAGAACACTCTTCATCCAGGTGTCTCCGTGGCTCACTCCCTCACCTTCCTTCCGATCCCTGCTCAAAGATCGGCGAGGCCTTCCCTGACCATTTTCTGCCACTCTCCCTCCCGCGTCGGTGTCTCTCAATAGCACCTCTCTTGCTAAAGCACTCTATCATTTTACTGTTTGGCTCACTGGCTGTCTTCCCCCTCTAAAATGCAATCTCCGCAAAGGCAGGGGTTCTGTTTGTTTTGTCTATTGCAGTGGCCTTAGCGCCTCGGGAGATGGTAGACATGTATGCGATAATGAAGTCTTTTGCCATCACGAGCCTTCTGTTGGGATAGGGGACAGACACACGTAAGTGCGATCACGAACAAATGGTGACACAGACTAGGAATGTCTCAGAGAGCAGGTGTGGGGGAAGGGGAGTGGCCAGAGCCCTCTCTGAGAAAGTCTCCTTGAGACGTGAACATCAACTTCGAGGGGAGGAGGTGGAAACGAGTCTCTGGAAAAGGGGAGCGGCCAGGGTAAAGACCCGAGCTGGCCGAGCACCTGGCCTGGTGGAAGAACAGCAGGGGGACCCGTGTGGGTGAAATGACGTGAAGCGAGTGATTGGCCCAGGAAGTCACCAAGGTGCCGGGCCACCAGATCACGTGGTACCTTAGAGGCCAAAATGAAGAATGTGGACTTTACCTTGAGGGCAATGGTGTGCCCTTGAAGGATTTTGAAGAAACAGAACACGACCGTAACTAATGTAATGCTGTAGGTCGACTATATTTCAGTTGAAAGCTAACTTAAGAAAAAGAAGAGAACGTCATCTCGTACCTTTTTTTTTTTTTTGGCTGCCGTGTGGAGGACAGACAGCGGGGTGAGGGTAGAGGCAGGGGGGCCAGGGAGGAGGCCTCCACAAGGCCAGGTGAGTGATGGTGCTGGCGCCAGCGGAGGCGGTGAGGGGAGGTCAGGTACTGAACACATTTCCAACATGGAGCCAAAAGAATTTGCTGATGGATTACAACGTGCGTGAGCAAATGGGAGGTATAATTCTTCCAGGTCTGCATGAATGTCCTTCTTCAAGGAAGCCTTCTGCGAACCCCGCATGCTAGTCTAGGGTCCTCTATCAAACACTCTTGAATCCCCCAGTCTGAAGTCATCCTTCATTAACCGCTTCCCACTGCTGTTGGCTGTTTAAAGATTTGCTCTCCTACTCGACTATCGGCTCCTTGAGAAGGGACCCTGTCTGTCCGGTCTGACATGTCTGTATCACCAACTACCAGAACACAGCGCATACTCAGTAAGTGTTGGCCAAATGAAAAGAATCTTTTCAAGCCTAAGCCTCACCTCTCGAAATCATCTGCTTCCAGTCTCTAGGCTAGCAGAAGAATGGCTTCATTCTCGCTAATGGGCTCTAAGAGTGTTTATGTGTGCGGTCAGGGGGACAGCCTGGAGGACGCAGCCTCACCTGTCATCCCAGAGGCAGTGGAATTCATTTAGCTGCTCATCGAACACCAAGCCAGTGCCAGACAGTGTCTTGGCCTCGAGGTTCACATCCTGCAGGGGAAAAAAAAAAAGGGGGGGGAGACACCGATCCGGTTAGGGCCTGAGTCAGAAGGCACGCCCCACACTGTCCAGGAGGGAGAACCACAGGGTTCTGATTGTCACAGAAGGCTAAACCCATTGAGGCCAGGCCACTCTCACCAGCTCTTTCAGGCCCACGACTAGGTCTTGCTCTGCTGCTTGGCTGAGCTTCTTCATTCTGCCTTTCTTCTTTAGCTCTGCTAGACTAGGGCTGGAGTGGAGTAAGGCACCCTTCTTAACACCTCGCTTCTGCCAAACAGAGAGAAGGGTCAGATTCCAGCGCACGGCCCACTGCTCCTTTCCACCCCCCACCCCCATCAGGGCAGGTCTGGGGCCTCACCGAGGTGACGCTGGAGTCGTGGGGGGGCGAATGGGGGTTATGCCTACTCCTTCGCTGCCTGGTTGTGGTGGAATCCTGGCCGGTGGAGGTCATGGTCGGGGAGACTTCACCCCTGACGCGGTTCTGGGGGGTGGGGTGGAGGTGACTACGAACCGGCTGAAGTGCCCTGAGGACCCCACCACCGCAGACCCTTCCCAGGCCCCGCCCCCCACACAGTCTCCATCCCTTCTTCTATCCTACTCCCCACCGCCTTCCAAACTCCGCCCCTTTCAAGGCCCTCTCCTTCCACTGGGGTGTCCGTTCCACCTGGTCCCGCCCATCCCACTAGACTCCACCCCTTTAACACTATTCTTTCCCCTCGAAATGTCTTGCCCATTCGCGGAGCAATAAACCCCCGGGCTCAGTCCGTCCTAGGGCCGGCCCTCTCTAGCTGATCACCGCCCTTTCCGCTTCCCCAAGTCCCATTCCTAGACTCCTTCATTCCTCCAAGCCTCGCTAAGACCCCACCCCTTCACAAATCTGCCCCCTCCAGCTAATCTCCCAGGATAATCACCCACCCTTTCACTCAGCCAGACCCAGACCCAGCTCCGGCCCCGACTCCACCCTTAACGATCCACTTAACTCCACCCCTTATCGGGCCGGCCCGGCACCTTCCACTTGGCCAGATCCCGCCCCTAACGTTTCAACGGGCCCCGCTCCTCGGGGGACTGCCCCCTTCCTTCCACCAGATCCCACCTCCTGCTCAAACCCTACCCTCAAGCTCCACCAAACCCCTTCAGTCAGTTTCGGGCCGCCTCCCGCCAGTCCCCTCCCCCTTCCCACCCCCGCAGTCGACACCGACCAATCCCCTCAGCGCCACTCACTGGGCGCAGCCCTTTTCTCAAACTCCGCCCAAGGCTCACGCCGCCAAATTTCTGGCGACCTGCCGGACGGCGGGTCCTTGAAGCCCTCTTTTTCATTGGGCCGGTCTCTCTACTGCCCGCCCCGATCTCGCCCACACCGTGTGTCGTGGCACAGGGCCGCGCCCCTTGCACAGGCCACACCTCCCGCGAGCTCACAAACGCCGCCAGCGCATCAGCACGTCCGCGCGTCAGTGCGGCGCTGGCCGTCCTGCGCCTGCGTGAAGTGCACGCCGGCGGTTCGAGGCGGTGCTCAGGCTCAAGCTCGCCCCTCCCCCAACCACCGTCGCTGTTGTCCTGGCTGCCGTGGCCGCTGTCCCTCCGTCCTTGTCCAGTCACCTTGGGAGTCCTCCGGACCCGCGCCAGTTGTGTCGCACGAGGACTCAAGAGAGCAAGCGAGGGAATTAGGAAGGGGCGTCTCCTCTCCTCCCGGCGGCTTCCCGCGCGGCGCGCTGTGATGACGTAGCGCGGGCGGGCTGGCGACAGGGACCCGGAGCGAGGTTGACACTGGAGGTTGGCTGGTGGCGGCCAAAATGGGAGTGGTGATGATGTTAAATACTGTGAGGATTTTCTTTTTTTTTTTTTAAGATTTTATTTTATTTATTTGACAGAGAACACAAGCAGGGGGAGTGGGAGAGGGAGAAGCAGGCTTCCCCGCTGAGCAGGGAGCCCGATGCGGGGCTCGATCCCAGGACCCCGGGATCATCACCTGAGCCGAAGGCAGACGCTTAACGACTGAGCCACCCAGGCGCCCCTCTCAAAATAAATAAATAAATCTAAAATAAATAAATAAATAAACAGCAGAACAGTGGAGATGGCCAAAAAAGCCAAAAGCTAGATTTGAAAAAATAAGTCAAACTGAGCAATGTTTGCGGAGGTGGAGGGTAAAAAAAAAAAAAGGAGATGCCATCTCAAGAAGAGACCCCCTTTTAGCTGGCGTTTGCCAGAACCCCATCTAATGCATGTCATCTCAACATGACAGGGTGAGACCTGTCAGTGGGTATTTCCTGCCCCCATCCCAGGGAAACACCTCTCAGGAAACACTCCCGTGCACCACACGGCAGAGTTGGCCCAAGAAAGCCATGTGCAACAGCACCGTACCCTTCCATATGAATGCCAAACAAGAGCTGCTAGGGGGCGTAGAAACAGAGGAAGAAAGTGCTTTTGGAGATGAAAAGAATGGCTAAATACATAAGTCAACAGAAGGGCTTCAAGGTAATAGCTGAGGAAATCTCCCAGGACACAGAGCAAAAGGGAGAAGAAAACACGAGAGAATACAACCCAAGAGACCAGGCAGAATACAGTAGAATACAGTGGAAGAAAGCATCAAAGGCCATTAAGAAGAAAGCGTCCAAAGGCTTAAGAAAGGCCTGAGTCTTCAGAGGTAAAACATCTACCCACCGCTAAGCAGAATGAAGGGGCCAGGGTGAAAGTTCAGAACACCAGGGACAGAAAGAAGAAACTAAAACCTTTGGAGAGGGAAACGGATTACTCAGAAAGGAATACACAGCAGACATCTGTCAGCAACGTTGAATGCTGGAAAAGAACAAAGCCATGTCTACAGAACAGCCAACCTAGATTAAATAATGGGCCGCGGGAACTCAGGATCTATGGCGGACAAGGGGATTCTATGCAGTTGGTTTGGCAGAAGACTGGATCAAACAACTACTTAGTGTCCCTACTGACAAGGACTTGCTCAATCACTTTCTGCAGGAAGGGGAAGCTGGTACCACCTTTCTGGAGGGACATCTGGTATGTGCCACTAATGAATCATTGAACATTCTGTCAAAAACTACTGATGTACTGTATGTTGGCTAATTAAATTTAAATTAAAAAAAAAATAGGGGCGCCTGGGTGGCTCAGTCGTTAGGTGTCTGCCTTCGGCTCAGGTGATGATCCCGGGGTCCTGGGATCGAGCCCCGCATCGGGCTCCCTGCTCAGTGGGGAGTCT